TGATAATGGGTTTTCTTATCTGTAGTATAATGTTATGGTCCTCAAAATGAAGTGTATGTTGATGTATATTGGTTTCTGTAGCTACTTTGCGTAATATAATGACTTGTGTTACTCCATTGTTGCGTTTTTGTGATGTGTTGGCTCTTTCAATGGTGCTGTCATTTCGTTGTTACCGGACATCGGTTATTTTTAGCGTCGATTGCGAGGGCCTGTAAGGGTATTTTTTTACTTAATCACAAACCAGCCTAAAAGGCATCAAACACGTGTGGGTATAGTCGCCATTGGGTTTCCAACACCTAAGTTACCGGTTGTTGAGGCGATAGTTTCTTTGTAGCGCTGGTCGAAGAACCCCCTAGAGGGATAATTTCGGAATCGCCCAAAGATACCATATGGCGTCAATCAAGTGTCCCTGTAGTCACTCGGTGAGTTGATTCGGAGACTTCTCTCGAGCTTGAGGTATTAATAACTGCTGGCATAAAGGCCGGTGTGGCAGTGTCCTATATTCATTTTCACTTATTGTTCGGATTTTCTTCTGATACCCGCGTTCAGCACAAGATGTCCGTATAATAAAACGGGATACATACGCCACGCCGTCGATGCAGATACTATCCCCCTAGACTCTCTTCTCCTTAATCCTCTCCAGTCTCCTCCTTACCCGCCACTCTCATTTTCACTGACAGGTTCAGTACTCCCTTACATTATTCTGAACAGGCTCATTTTCCATCGAACGAAATTTTCTTCCTTCCCAGGCTGGTCCACAAGAGATACCAGCACTAATCATGATCCCCCGACTCAACATCGACTCCGAAACGATCAACCTCAAACTAATCTTCAACATGGGTATCGTAACCCTCGTCTTCGGAATCCTCTACAGCATCATCGGCTTCCTCCAACTCACAAACGCCCTCGCATTAGCCTACCACATCATCCGAACTCGCCAAGTAGCTCCCAAAATCCCATACCGCCGCCGCAGACGATTCGGTCTAATCCTCGTCCTTTCCACACTTCTCTTATTCCTCAACTACGGAATCAAAGCGGTCGTTAATTTCCCGCAATTCCGGAATAATCCAAATATCGCGTTTGATTTCCCAGAGCAGTTTTCAGCTGTTGGGGGGATGGCGGCGACGTTAGGAGCGTGTATGGTGTTTTTTCTGTTCTTTGCATTGATGAAAGACTATGCGTCTCGACGGCGGAAAGATGCGCAGTATAATTGGGAGACGGTCTCAGAGAGTAAATGGAGGAGGACAAGGGTGCCGATGCTTGTTGGGTATCTTTTAGTGTTCCTTTTATTTGGGAAGGTGGTGTGTGAGGAGGTGAATTTGTATGCATTTAGGCCATCGAGTGTTACGAGTAGCATTGAGGCGTGGTTGGAGATTGTTTTGGATGCATGTTATTTTTTGATTGTGTTGGTTGTGCTTGTTGTTACACTAAGACTGCGGGAGGCTGATCGGCCGTATCGAGTGAAGGGAGCGGAGGGGTCTAGGGTGCGTACACCGTTTCTCTTCTCTCTAAAAGACTCCTAATTAATCTAATATTTCTCAGCTCATAAAACTAGGAGGCCACTTCACTTTCTCAGCAACATTCGTAGCCGTAGGAAACTTTCTCTCTCTCATCCCACTCCTCACTCCCAGTTTCAACGGGAATGGATCGGCGATCATAGAGATGCTCTCTGCCGTCCTCTTTGGATTATCATTATGTTTTCTTGTGAATTCATTATCCTGGCTTGGGACGGTTAAGTTACATTATCCGGTTGCCACGTCTGGGAAACATGTGTCGAGAATCAGCATCAACGTGAAGGAGGAAGAGCAGGAAGAGCGCGGAATTATACCCTTCAGATTTATATATGCGTATATGGGTTCTTGATATTATTTCTGTATGGTACTGTAAGATAAACCTATGATTGGAAATTGAAACGAGAGAACTTGTCCTGCAAAGTACCCTACTTCCCGCCGTTGTCGACGATAATGATACTGCTTTAAACTTTCTTATTCCTCAATTATATACGGGACCTAAGGTGTCATGACTACCTGTGAATGACGTGGGAATGTACGTAAGTATGTATTGCAAATTCGCTTATGTCTTCATTGACAGGCCGCGTAGATTGTGATTGCTGTGTGAAGCGAAGCGTGGTTAGATCTGACCCACAAGCAAGCACATCCTCCCAAATCAATCACTCCTTCCTCGTCATCACAAAAAATGACAAAAATTACTCTCCAGGACCGAGATCGAATCAGTGACATTGAGATATATCTGAAGATGAGTAAGTAACTATTACAGTCTGACACTCTTCCAGCTGAGCTACCCAGAGGTCATCATTTTCTGCACCTGTGTGCTATACAACGGCGTATTATTTTCACAATGAACTCTTGAGAATGATGAAAACTTTCTAAAAGGCTTTAGATTCTGGTGATGCGGCGACGAATCAAGGTCGGGATGGCGAAATGACACGGTGTATGGGAATCGGAGGATTGGTTGAGCCGTCTTCTCTTCTCTTTTCTTTTTTTTTGCACCTGGAAGAAAGATGGGAGACAGATTTACTATGCGTCAATGGAATACTGACTCCAGGCAAATATATGGAATCATATACTTAGTTATTGATCGTGATGTCCATCTTAAGTACGTATCTTATCTTTGTCGAAGCCAATTCCACGCACAAGATGGAATTTTATCACACAAGCAGGTAGAAAATATTGTTTCAAACAGTTATAACTAAATATACAAATGTCATGGGCTTGTGGCAAACCTCACAGGTCTCCAAACGAGGCCGTGAAATTATTGACAGTCACCTTGCCTAAACTGGGAAAAAAGAAAGTAAATGATCAGTCAACTTGATAGGTGTCATTTGAATGAAGCGAAACTTACCAGGAAGGTGTTCCTCTTTTCCTAGGTGACTTCAAGCTTTGTCAAATTGACCATAAGGGCAGAATAAGAGGCACTTCGTGATGGTCATCGGATCAGCAGCAGACTCAGAGCTATTGACAGCTTTAGTGACAAAGACCCATCCAGTCCGGACGACTTCAACCCCAGTCTCCTCAAGCTTCTTCAGTGCATCCGGTGTTATCATTTCAGTGATATTGTGCTTGCCATTGGTACACTCAACGAGGACCTCTTCAAGGTTGGCCACCAACTTGTTGAGATTACTCACATGGAAGATACCGAGAACCTCTTTACACTCTCCAACAGCCTCGCAGAATTGCTTGAGGAATTCTGGGGGAGGCTCCGTCGTAGGGATGCTGGAGAATTCGTACGCTTAGCCATTAGCGAGCCACTTGTCTGGGTAAGCCACGGCAGGCTCAGTGACATTCCCAGCGGAGATCATTTTCTCGCCATCTGCAAGAATACAATGGGCATGCACAAGGAGGTTCCCGTAAGCAATAAATATAGAACCGAAAAGTTTGAACATCTTGGGGCATTTGACAAACATCTCGTTGATCTTCTCGAGAGGAGGGAGGTTGTTGTAGATGACTGCGCTCATGTTGGTTCTGGAGGTTGAGGTTGGAAGTGGATCTGGAGGGAGAGGAGACAGCCGGGTGTCTTTTATAAGTTTCAAGGATAGATATTTAACCCCTTATAGTTACTCCCCACTCCTTTCAAATGCACGAGGTGAACAGGGATCTCCCCAGGGTCCGACATGGTCAGTTCGCTAGTTCTGAGTTTTGGTCTGGAGGAGATGCCTGATATGATCGGTGATATCTTTCGGTAGACAATGGAACATAAGATAAAAATAATCAATTATTGTACACGATGTTCCGATTTTCTTGTGAAGACCGCCCCCACAGGGCTCCTGAGGTGTGCTGCCATTGGGATTGATAAGGTAGGAACAGGAACAGAAATGCACACATTGATGCCAAAATAAAATAAAATAATAAAAACAGGAGGTAAACATGAACAATGTCAGTTAAATCAGACTAGAAAGATCCCTATTTTACTCACTTATCCAGATTATTCATTTGATAGCTGTTCCCATTGTTGTACACCGCCTGCCTGGCATTGTATTACTTTTGCCCCCCTGCCAGTGTAGGTTTTTTTGTGTAAGACTTACCTATGCACATGTAGATCTATTTAAAATTAATGCTAATCTGGGCTCTTCCACTTTCTTTTCATTCTCTGAATCGGGAAGACAATGAAATGACGACTATATCAAGTTTCTCGAGTCATGGCGCACCAGTGAAGGAGCACTCTAATCCTCGAAGAGTCGCATCTAGTGCTACAATCCATTCAATCTATCATACACTAAATTGAGGTTAATCGTATTGAGTGCTATATAGGTTGGCACTGCGTTTCCCCTTTAACTTGGTGTAAACTCGTTCCCCGGGCCCCTTCAGGACATCGAGACCCTGGTGGCAATGTAACTTTAACTGACATTGCATCTCCATTGTCCGTTTACTAATATGACCCTTATCTCTTTAGCTGAGGGGTGGTCTCTTTCACGGAGTCATATATAGGCTACAGGCGGAGCACCTATGGAGTTAACGCACCCTGAACAGATACTTACATGAGGAAAGTAGCATGTCTGATCTTTGCTCACACCCACGATCCCAGGCTACCGGAAGAAGAAATGTTAGTCCAGAAACAAGGTGGCACCCCCACTAATGTAGCCTAAAATTCTTCGCATTGTTAATGATTTAGCTCCTTCACGTCAATGTCAGTGCACCCAATCACGCCCTGCGGTGGCGGGCTTCATAGGGCAACTCAGGGTTTTCCACTCTTTCTTTTCACTTGCGGCAAAGCCGGTTGATTATTTTTATTATCTTCCGAAGACATCATCAATTAATTTATATCACGGATCGCCTCGAGAACTTGAACAGGTTCGCTGAATGATTACATGACGGTGCAGCAAACTCCGAGACCATATGAGCCTATGTCCGCGTGCATTGGCAAGGAGTGGCGAGCAACTGAAGAGGTATCCTTGAGACTTATACAAGGCACCCAGTTGTCTTCTCATCTCTCCAAATACAAATCCAATCTCATTCTCCACAATGGATATGAGCGCTGCCATCCACAACCGTCTTCCTACTCTCGACATGGCCCACAAGCTGTTTGCCAACAGCGAAGATCTTCAACCTCCCTCCTATCGTAGCTGGCAATTCTTGGGCATACCCATTGCACTCTGGCAGACGGAGAGAAAATGGTTTCTGTTGGGAATGTCTCTCAACCTGCATCCAGACACTTACTTTGCTACTGACGGGCGTATGAATTCTTTAGCAGCCTTCTCCAGAACTTCTAAGGCAAGGCATTCCGCGAGTTTTGGAGAATATAAAGATTTTTCAGGCCTCTGTGATCTTGAAAATTTGAAGGCCGAGAAAGAGAACGCACCGAGGGAAGGGTCGACATAACTCGGGTCATAACGTTGGATATTGGATGAATTGAATAAATAACTCGTTTGCGGATTGACAAGCCACCCAGACTTGGCTCCGGACGCGAAGTACATTGGCATGCTGGATATAATGTGCGAATCTAGGACCGACGACGAATCCAACGTTATGCCCCTCGCGTCCGGAATCCGCGTCGTTCACACCGGAAATTTGACACATGATTCATGATCACATCATAGTAGGTTTTGTCAAATGAAGAAAGTATCAACTTACTGACTCTTTACTGTTATCTTCTCCAAAGCCGAAATAAGAAAGCAGTGAGCACCGTCTAAATACCTATGGGGATGGGAGGGCCCTGCAGGAGGGAAGATGTGTTGCAGGACTCGCAGGGAAGATGAGTGTGGCGGAGATTTGTTATTTGGAAATAGGAATGGGGGAGGTGATCATGCCAAGGAGAGGCCGAGAAGGTGGGGGACATAACGATAACCTTGGATGTTGGGGGCATATATCTGAGTCAAGGGTTGGACTGAGGAGGCAGAAAATGAGAAAGAAGGAATAAAGTTGGAGGTATGTATGTTAACTAACCAGAGAAGCCTTGCAAGCTTGCATATCTGGCTCGAAAGAAGACTTAGATTAAACTAAAATAGGCATAACCACGAGACTAGCCTGCGAGCAGCGGGTGAGTTATTTAAAGATGGAGCCACTTCTTGGGGTGTCCATAATGAGCCAGCAGCAGGAGAGGGCCCATAAGAAAGGCCAGGCTGAATGCGATTAGAACAGTTGGCGGCATGAATTACAGAATGGACTGCTTGGTCAGGTGCGCGTGGTCTTCAGGACCCCAGTAACCACTGCCAGTGGGACTCGACTCTCGTTTCGCGGGGCATACGTTGAAGCTAGAGGGAAAAGAAGGAACGAGAATCGTTGATGGGATACTGGAAATTATTCCGCAGGGTTATCAATTAGGATTACATCCCACTGCATACTGCAGCTTGCTGAGCTGGAGGTTGGAAGCCCGACGACCGGCAGCACGATGCCGATGCGTAGAGCCATGCGGAGCCTAAAGGATGGCTAGCGGCTCGCGCAACCAACGCACAGTGACAGTCTCGCCGTCGTCGTCGACGTTCGCAAAGCCCATTTCTTCGTCGCACCTGGATGACGCCCCAACGGGTACCATTAAAAACGCACTCCGGTCACCGGCGCCTATTAGGTCAGCCCTTCCCGCGCCTCATGAAATTCACCGGCGTGGCTGCTGAGTTCAAACACTGCACATGATCAGATGCGAAAGTATTTTGGATATATAATATAACCTTCTTGTGTGAGTGACAGGGGCTTAAAAGAAGCTAGGATTAGACATATACGGCTTTTCAGAACATTGAATTAAAGAAACGTATACGTCAAAAGAAAAACCAAAAGAAAGGTGTTTCTGGTTGAATGGTATATCTTCACTTGAGTTTGTGTCTCTCCATTGTCTGGTCTGTTGTTTTTTTTTAGGTTTTTTTTTTGTTTCAATTTTTCCTGTGATGTTAACTCACCGAAAACCTTTTAATCTAAGAAATGCGGGATTGTCAGGGTTTATGCGACTGGAAGGTGCGGGAAAAGGGAGGCGGATCAAATCATGCTTCGCATGAGAGTTTAATTCACTTCAAAGCTGTCTTCCCTCATGCTATATACCCCTGCCAGAGTCTGATACACAGGCCATTAATCTTCAATATTTCTCATTTATTTTCATAGGTAGGAGGATTTTCACATATTTTTTTTTCTTTACAGAGGAAGGGATTTCTTGATTCACTGTGTTCTAAAATGCGTTATAATATTGCTACAATGCAAAAGGCATTTTCTATTTATTTTATTTTTTCGAATCTCTTTTTCTTTGAGCCCCCGCCGGTAATCCTGGAAGTGGACTTGGTAGAATTGGGGTGCGCCGGTGAATTTCACGACACGCGGGAAGGGCTGACCTAATAGGCGCCGGCGACCGGAGTGCGTTTTTAAGGTC